GCCCGTCCTGCGTTTGGTGTCGGTATGGTTGCCAGTCGGTATCCACGCAAGGTGTGGTGTTCTCGCCGATGTGTGCCGCGGTGATGGGAGAAGTTGTTCACACTGATGCGATGATCTCCCTCGTTTGGAGGACAGCGCGCGCATGGTAGGTCACACTCTGGTGGGTGACGGTCTTCAGAATGAAGCGCCCGCCGCCCGCCTCCGATGGCGAGGCGGCGCGCTGAAGCGGCCCCTCCCGAGGGCAGCCGCGCAGGCTGGGCGCGGCGCCAGGGGCGAGTGCGGTGGGTAGGGTTCCCGCAAGCGGCCTTCCTCCTCCTCCTCCTCCTCCTCGTCCTCCTCCTCCTCCTCCTCCTCCTCCTCCTCCTCCTCCTCCTCCTCCTCCTCATTCCTCTCCTCCTCCTAAATCTTCTGTTTTTCCCCAAATGTTCCCCCAGAGGTTTCCACAATGGCTGGAGAACACATCGCCCAAGAACGTTGCCAGACTTCGGCCCGACCGTTCGCCACACACGTGTTTCCTAAAGGCATGGGGTCAGCAGTGGTTCGCCGTAGACGTTTTCGATTTACCGCCTCTGTAGTTTACCGGACGGAAATTGACGCGCTGGAGTTCGTAGCTTTTCTTGGACCCTCCGAAAGGTTTTCAATGGTTTTCGGCACATCCTGCCGTCCACCCACAGCATGTGCTTCCCAATTGCTTTCACGCCTAAGACGGCCCCACTATTTGTTCGAAGACGGTCGAAAAGACCCAAAATTGCTTCAAGACGCACCCATTTCGGCCCAAAATGTTTCCACGACGGTCTAAGATGGCCCCAAGACTACCAAAACTGGCCTCTAGACGGCCCAATGCGCCGCCGAGGGGAGGCCCGAAAGGGCGCCATGAGGCAAGCAGTTCTCAATGATTTCGGCGCCCACGCCCTCGAGGGATTCCGACAGACTCAGACGGCCTGCGAGGCCTTCAAGATGGCCCTGAAACGGGGCAGGGGGCTTCAAGAGGGCCCCAAGGCATTCCAAGACGGGCTCCAAGACGGCCAAGCTGGTCTCCAGGTCTGCCAAGATGGCCCTACACAGCCTCAAAGACGGTACGATATGCCATCCAAGACGGCCAATGTGGCCCAAGATGGATCCCGTTCGTTTATTCGGGCCGGTGACGCGCGTGACCAGGGGGGGGGGTCGTCACGCCGGTCTAGCTACTGCGGGGGTGCGCCTGTGGTGCCGCAACATGCCCGTAAGCAACGCAATGCACCTGCGAAAAAACAATCGACTGCGACCCGACCATCACGACGTGCCTGTGACCAGCGCCACAGAAGCTCGCGATCCGATCAACGCGACGTGCCTGTGAACACAACAGTGCTTGTGAAGAGCACAGCGTCCGTGAACACCACAGCGCCTGTGAACATCAAAGCGCCTGTG